CAAGTAGACCTTAATGTTTTTGATGCAACATAGTCAAGTTTGTAGGAGTTACACTGTGGAGAAGAACGGTTTGTTTTGCGCTCATCCGAGGCAGAACAAAATGTCGGCTCCTGGCGAGAAGAAACCACCAGGTGCAACGGCAGAGCCAGGGGGTGGCCAGCGGTGGCCTTGGCCACAACATATTAATCTTCAACCCCCACAAGGGCCACCCCAATAATTTGAGGAAACCATATTTTTGAGCAATACTTAAACTAGAAAGCGTAGTTTCCTCAAACGCTCGGTGTGGCCGGTTTACACACAAATGTTTGTCAAGCCCAGTTTCGAAAGGCACATTTCTTACGTCTAGACGTAGCCACACACCAAAATGGAAATCCGTACCTCACTTTTTTAATTTAACATGCTCACAATGGGCGCGGATGGACGTTAAATCACTGACACACCAGACTTTACAAATAAAACAGCTGAATTGACGCCCTTTATCCATCAGCACTTTTGTTTTCTGCAAGCGATTTAAAACTTTAGTCTCTGGAAACGAGGCCAATCGGTGCCATTTAATGTCCAACACGTGTTTAGCACCTCCTTTTAGTGGTTTGAAGAATTCTTCATTTCTGACCTTGTGACTGACAAAACAAACGTGTTTTCTGTCTTTTTGTGTCGTGGATTTGTGGCTTTTGGTCGTTTGTCGTTCATTGCAGGTTAAAACCAGAGTGTCCTTCCCTGCTCACCTTACACCTGGAGGAGCTTTGACTCCATCCACGACTTTCTGTTTTGCTCCTCAGAAATGAGAAGATATAAATTCTGTGGTGAAAACTGGCATCTTATCTTGATTCAACGGTTTAAAATCGTAAACAACACAAACGCGTGTCCTCGTCATTGCATCAGGGACATACTGAAGAAACGTGATATCAATGATCTTAAACCATTTTCCTCATCTGTGCCAGTGTTCGTCACCGATACGTTTAAATCTACGAATGAATCAACGATGACACTTCTGAGACTCACAAGCGTTCCGTGTAAAATCAATGTGTTGTTTAAAGATTTCAGATCATAGGACAATATCTCTTTTATAAATCATACTTGCAGGTTGATGCTATTTATTTAGGTTTACTTTCCCCACATACTGAATCATTTTCCATTTGGAGTTCCAGTTCCACTCAAAACTGCCATTGCAAATAATCAGATTTAAGCTTTTCTTGTATATATTGAAGCAAATTAAAAACAAAATAGAAAAAATACACTTATCTGATTGCTTTAAAAACGTTCTCTTTGAAATCAGCCTAAGCAAACTGGCTCAGATTTCACCGTTCTATGCTACTGTTAGCTTATAGCTGTTGCTCTTCTTTTAGCCAACCTTTTGCTATTTTTAGGTAGTCTTGCTAATTTTAGCTTTTAATAAGCTTTTGCTAATTTCATTGGCCTTATTGATACTTTGGGTTTACCTTTTGCTTCTTTTATTTGCTAGCTGACCTTTAACAACATTAGCTAGTAATTTGATACATTTAGCTTCTAGCTTACTTATAGATTTTAGCTAATCTTTTCTACTTTTAGATTTGAGCTAGCTTTTTTGCTACTTTTAGCTATTATTTTGATATATTTAGCTTCAAGCTAGCCTTTTACTACATTTAGATTTTAGCTAGCTTTTTTCTACTTTTAGCTCTTATTTAGCTTCAAGCTAGCCTTTACCTACTTTTAGATTTTAGCTAGATATTTGCTTTTAGATTGTAGCTAGTTTTTTGCTACTTTCAGCTATTCCGATATATTTAGCTTCAAGCTAGTGTTTTACTACTTTTAGAGTTTAGCTAGCTTTTTGCTACCTTTGGATTTTAGCTAGGTTTTTGCTGTTCTTTTCACATATTTAGCTTCAAGCTAACCTTTTGCTACTTTTAGAGTTTAGAATCAGAAAAAGCTTCATTATCATTGTACGAAAATACAGTGAGATTATGTTCATGCACTCTTCCGAAAGATGAGCAGAGTGCACGGTGCTGCTGCTACTCGAGCGCAGTCCCTTATCCTTTTTCAAAATACTTTTTAAGACAGAAAAGAGGAAAAATCCACGAGGATAGGATAGTGGCATTACAAAAAATGATCTATTCACACCTTGTCCTATCAGGACACGATTTAAAACATAAAAAATACTCTGCCTGCAAGAACATTACATGTGCATTTGATGGCAAGGCGGTGAGATTTGTCCATGAAGCACTTCCAGATAGACCATAGTCCTGATAAGATGTTGGTCAGCTGGCACAGTTCTGATAAGCCTTCACAGAAGTTCTCAGGGGGGATACATGAAGCTTTTCCTTAGTTTACACATAGCCCAAGAGAAATTTGATAAGTCGGCCTGTTTTCTAGGCCATCCGAGGTAGTCAGATTCAGATAAAACAATTTTTTTCCAGGCAGACTTTTTTTTCTTGTTAGCCTCGAGTCCTGCTGGCACTTTCGATCCCAATATGGCCAGATTTGTGGGCATTCCACTGGTCCGTGCCTACGAG